CCCCAAAACCCCAAAACCCCAAAACCCCAGCACTTAAATAACTTGAATTCCTTACAAATAAGAGATAATATGCTAATTAATGATAATAATATTTGTAAATAATTATGGTAAATTTGAGATCATGTCATTTATAATTTACTCTTTTCCTTCTCTTTGCTGCTTTCATCAATCTTTATACGACACTTAATGAAGAGGATAAGGATTCATTTAAGAAAATAAATGGGACATCTATGCTAGAGTAAGATGAAAAAGACGATATAGAAGATCAAGACAAAGAGTAAACTTCCGTCAATGATAATCCAATACAGAAATAGTAACAAATTTCCCAGAAGCCTTCATAATCAAATACAGATGAATAGACTTAAAGTTTAGGTAAAACTCCAGAAGACTCTTATTATGAATCTACTTAAACTACTTCGTAGCAATATTCTCCTCAATACCAGATGATTAAAGATATGATGCAGTATTCATGCGTTGACAATCAGGAGTGTATTGATACAACTTTCTGTTGTTCTACCTAGAAATGTGCTCATCCTAGTGTATGCTTGCATGGCTAAAAGCTTTATCAAGACTATTGTGATTATAACTTTGAGTGCATGAGTAGATGTTGCCATGATAGGCAATGTGCTCACTTCTTAGAATGTTATGATACTTGCACTGTAAATTCTGATTGCAGATTCACATCCTGCTGCACTGAAGGTTACTGCTCATCTTAAGTTGTATGCGAGGGAAATAAGATGGCTGGAGATGTTTGCGAGTAAAGTTCAGAGTGCATTAGCCAATATTGCTTCAACAGTAAATGCTAGGTTTAGCCTGAAGATTTCCCAAGTTGGGCTTGGGGCATTATCATTATGGCTGTTGTTGGATCTCTTCTATTTATGCTTTATGGCTATTGCACTCTTAAATACAGGCATAATAGATCAAAAGAGGACATCTATGCTGCTTTGGAGCATTTCGCTGAAATGCGTGAGCATAAGCAGCCATTACTTTAAGATCATTAGCCTGATGCCAGCCATGTCTTGGTAGTATAGAGTGTATCTAGGAAGTTTTTATATAATAATCCAAAGAAAATGCCTCATTTACCTATAGATATGAGATATCATGCCACCCCTATTCAGGAAGTTAAATCAGAGTATTAGTATTACACTTATGATGACAGGAATCCAAAGCTATTCAACTCAGCAAGTGAGTCATCACTGAATATGAACTCTGTCGAATTAACTCAAAGAAGAGACTCAGATGATGATCCACAGAATCAAGCCAATAATATTAGGAATAAGTGGACTAATTCGCTTAAACAATCCTTTACCAGCGATAGTTAACCCCATAATTAGAACAGGTAAAATAGAACTAGTTAAGTTTAAAATAATAATAACATGCTAATACCTTCTCCTAGACCAACTTAGAGCATATCTAAGAGCCCAACTATCTAAATTGACGATTCCTATAAGATCTTTGACATTTAGCAATAAATTTATAGGTTTAACTAATTGGAATAGTGCAAAGTTGAACAGCCTCAATCCATTTTGAAGTAATCCACTATGAGGAGTAAATTACAAGTGGATAATCAGAAATCAGATGTGATTTAGAAGTCTTAAAAGAAACTCTAGATAAAAGTTCCTGAAAGCGAATCTGATAGTAGAGAAGAGACTAAGACTAGACAAACAATCAGCAATCTTATAGACCAATAAATTTTGCTAAGCCATTAGAGCGAGTCTAAGGATTCTTAAGAAGAAGAAGTTTAGTAAAATGTACCTTAGTTTAAGCAATCTTAGACTATTAAACTGCCTAAAAAAACTGAGTTTGCTGAGGATGATTTTTTGCAAGCCTTTATCAATGATTTTAAGCCAAGGAGCCCAATTGAATCAGACAAAAATTAGATGTTAGGAAGTAATACTGGATTATATTAAAAGCAGAAAAGTAAGATATTTATTGAAGACTAGCAAGAAATCAAAGGAGGTGAACTATTAGATGAAGATGGATATCACGAAAGCGATGAAAGTGAAGGGAAATCCAAGATGAGTATCTAGCATAAGAAGAATGCCTGAATAAGCTAAGCTTCTTTAAAATGTAAGATGAGATCAGCATCAAGTCATTTCAAATTATTAACTAAATGAGTTATATTCTACTTAATTTCATAATTTCTATTATAGTCGGCAAATTTGCTTTGTGGGGTTTTGGGGTTTTGGGG